GGCACAGATTGGAAGTTGCTGACCCTTCACCGTGGCCATGAACTTTACCTCATAGCTCGATCGAAGAACTTCTCCTCCACCGAACTTGAAGTCACGCACCTGTGGACGAGTTTGGATCTTGAGGACATCATCGAAGTTGCCTTCTTCGAGCCATTTCTTCCAGACTTCTTCTCCAACGATGGTGCGTGTGGCTCCAGAGTCAACAATAGCCATGCCAGGGCCAAGCGACACGAAGTATACCTCCTCCTCATCAAAGTGGCATAGTGGTACATCATCTTCCACCATGGTGACTTGTTCTTCAGGAACTTCTTTTGCACCTTGGGCTTGTACTCTATAGCGTTTGAAGCGAGGACCATGACTGGATGTTGATCCTGACAGCGTTGACTTGTAGTCAGAACTTGAAGTGGTAGTCGACGCTGAAGATGGTGTATAGGGCTTTCTCAAACCAGCCATGGGTCGTCGTTGTTGAGGCGGAAATCGTCGTGGAGCTCCTTTTCCTTTTCCTTTTCCCTTTGAGGGTCTTGACTTGCTCTTGCCTTTGCCTTTGGATTTTCCTTTCGAACCGTAGCCATCATATTCAGGTCCAATGGCAACAATGGGGTAGAATCCCCTTGAGAGAGCAAGTTCCTTCATCCTCCTCCGCGAGTCCACATAGGAGATGTAGGCTTCATCCATCACGTCAGCTGCCTCCTCCAATTCCTCAGGGATTTCATCTTCGAAGCCTTCCTCCATTTCATCTTCATAGTATGTCTCATACCAATCTTCTTCATCATCCATGTAGAACTCCTCGTCAGGGTTGACGTCGTCCTCAACCGTGAATCCATCATCCTTGACCGTCTTGGTGTTGGAGGACAAGTCACGAGGATTCGGCTTGTGGTCGCCGCCGAAGACTTTGAGCAAGGCTTGATGAACTTGATCATACTTGAGCTCGCCGTTGCAAAGACTCTTGATCTGGATGTGAGTCCACTTGGGCACACCAGACCGTGTGAGCAGGTGCCAACCAGCTAAAAGCGGTGGGATCTCGATGCCAATCTCCCGGAGTTTCTTCAACTGAGTCTTGTGGCGAATCAAGTAGGCCTGCATTTCCTCTCCCCGGCCTCTCATGAACAGCTGAAAGAAATCTTCACAGCGTACGGGGACCTCAATCTCTTCTTCATACTGGTACAGGCCGTCCAACAGCTTCAACACGGGCTTGAAGGGTTCCGTGTTCCGCTCGATGTCATTCAAGTCGAGCTGCTCTGAGGCTGCGTCCCAAGCCAAGTTCTTGAGAAGGCTAACCACCAACAAAGCTCCTTCAACTTCTGCATCCTTTGATCTCCTGCGGCATTGGAGGGCAAAGAGTTCCAACCTTTTTCTAAAGCTCCTGTAGTTGGACTGGGTCAGGTCATCGGCGATGGGAGCGGCTTTCGCCAAGCCACTGTCGAGTCCGCGGTATCCACCAGCTACTGCCGAAGAAGCGGCTCCATTGGCTCTCGATGGAGATCGTGTCCCTTCAGGCTCAGGTGTCCATCCATCTCCTTCAGCAGGTGGGACTTCTTGCTCGCGGCGTCGACGTTGTTGTCCACCACCAGTTCCTGCCATAGTGGCGCTGAACACGATCTTTGAGATCAGGTTACCTTTAAACGGTAGGAGGATGCCAAAGCAGTCTTCAATCAAAAAGGTCCACCTCCAAGATCTTTCCGAGGATCGTGTAGCGCTCCGCTACCAATCTCAATCGCAATGGTGGCAACCGAAGTCCACAAAGCGTCCGAGCGCACAAAAGAAAGCTCTTTATGGCTGCGAGTGTCGAGGTCGTCGCCTAGCGGTCTCAAGGGCCCTTCGGACAGAAAGATGCGACGGGAGTCGCACAACTGGAAAAGAATGTCCTGACAGACATGTTCAAAGCAAAATGCATTCGCATGTTGACACCCATGTCACTTAGTTGATTTGTGTACTTTGAGGCATGATCAAGTCGCCGCAACATTTCTCAATTTCAGCCCGGCTGAAAACCTTAGGGCCCATGAGCACGCGGTGCTACGCCACGAGGAAACATTTTGCTGATCGAGTTCTTTGCGTCCGAACTTTGGGGAGTTGGATTGCGTCAGCATTGGTAGCGGAGCTCTACACGATCCTCTTGGCATATTTCCAGGTGAGCCTACATCCCTGAAGATCTCTTGTAGAACCCCTTGAAGTCAAAGAGGTGATCACCTTGGATCATGTCTGGTCAACAAAGACGTCAATGTGATCAAGCGGCTGAAGTTGCAGCTCGAGACATACCTGCCCTGCGCCACCGTCCCCTACGAGACCGAATGGTGAAGGACGAACTTCAAACGGAAATGGAGCTGGACACCGTGCTCTAGACAGTGGTCTTGCAAAAGCCGTTCCCTCAGCCGACGACTTGAATGAAGCTGGGTACCGGAGTGGTAGGAGCACTACAAGGTGGAAGGAGCTCTTCTCGGGGTCTCCTTGTTGAAGGGCGTCGCTTGGGAAGCGGCAGAACAGCTTGACCTGAAGGGCGTCGCCAACAGCGCCACGAGCCACTTCTTCGAAGGTTGGGTGCGCTGTTCTAACATGAAGCGCAAGTGGAGACACTGTATCGATGTGAGGAATTCTTCCAAATCTTCAACAGAAACAAGGAGAAGAACTACACAGAACAGCGCTCAAGGGCAGGAAGTCAACGTGGAGATTCCTTCGCTGCTTGTTGGGATGAGCTCATCCCCGAGGACGACTTCGAAGAGGAGTGCTATGAAGAAGTAGGAGATGAACCGTGGTAAGTTTGATTGCGCAAAGAAGCTGCTGGCATTCGACTCAACGAGAAGAGAACCGCCATTGAAGTGGCCACCATGAACCGTGTCAGCCTCGGATGGCAAATGGTTTTGGGCCAGCTCCCATCAGCAGTTGGCTGATGGGCCCGCAATGCCAGCTTCCTCTGCAGCTTGGCTCGCGGAACCCGCCTTTGGTTTTAACAGCTTTCAACCCACCATGAGTTTGTGACACATATTGTAATCAGTTTGGCAATGGTCCGGCGAAGAGCGTCGACAAGCGGAGACAAGTCTAAAAACATGCGGCCAAGTGTATCCAGAGTAGGCCGAAACAAGTGGGAGACGAGTGTAAAAGCATCCGGCCAAGAGCATGTAAGCAGGGAGACAAGCAAAGAGACAAGTGGAGACAGTGGAGACAAGTGTAAAAACATCCGGCCAAGTGTAATCAGAGTAGGCCGAGACAAGTCGGAGACAAGTGTCGACAAGTGTAACAAGTGTAAAACCACCCGGCCGAGAGCCTCCGGCCAAGAGTATCTAGCCAGGGACAAGCAAAGAGAGACAACTGGCGACAAGTGTAAAAACATCCCTCCAAGTGTATCCACCGCAGTCCGAGACAAGTGGGTGACAAGTGGAGACAAGTGTAACAAGAAGGGGACTAGCAGGGAGACAAGAGAGAGGCAAGTGGAGACAAGTGTATAGACACCCGGACAAGCATATCCAGGAGTAGGCCAAGACCAGTAAACGGCCAAGTGCATGCAGTGCAGAGTAGGCTGAGACAAGTGGGAGACAAGTGGAGGCAAGTGTGTAGTAAATCATCCGAACAAGTGTGCTACCATCCTGCCAAGTGTGTCCAGAGAAAACTGAGACAAGTGGCGTGTAACAAGTGCAGACTCACCCAGGGTGTGCTGGCAATGTAAAATCACGCGGCCCGGGCACGCAACCCTGAGTAAGAACCCCTCACAGGTAAACCTGCTTGGGAGAGAAGGACTCCTCCGATGACAAGAACAATTCCCATCGGCTTGACCATGTGGAGGGCAAGAAAAGAAAGGTGGCGATGGCTCCGGTTGCGAAGCCCATGGCTGAAGAGCTACCGAGCGCTGAAGCTATTTATCATGAAATGGAAAAGGAAAGGAAGCGATCAATGTCGTCCTGGAAGATTCCGCTGGCTTTTGGCTTGATGCTCTTGCTTGCTTGCTTGCTTGCTTTCTTGCTTGCTTGCTGCGGCCCTCGTGTACAAGGTCTACCACCTTCTGGTTGAGAAGGTGAAGACCATGATGGTGAACGAAAGGGAGAGGCCCTTGGATGCGAAGACCTCAGCGAATGTCTTGACCCCTGCGAATGTCAATGCCTTAAGCCATGTTGCCGCCGCATGCTATGACCTCAGGCCTTGATGAGGGTGGGCCAATCCTCAACGCTTTGGCTTGGCAGAGCGGCCAGCAGAAGATGAGTTGCTTGATGAGGAATGGCAGGGATGGTGTGCACTGAAGCAAATGGTTCAAAAAGAACCAGGTCATAGACAGTGTCAGACAGTGGAAGTCTGCTGGCTAAACTCGAGGACGCTGCGAGTGAGCTTGATGGCCAAACTTTACACTGACGGCAGAAGCCTTTACCACTCGAAGGCGGCGCAAGTTCAGCGAGCTGATGCGTTCTCAGGACAAGAGCAGATCAAGTAATGCCACCGGCATTTTTTGACCAATGTCAATCAAAAGAGCGAAAGACACAAGAAGCAAACCGAGGAGATGGCGCGCCTGGACCAACGCAGAGAAAGAATCCGACTGAGTGAGTGAAAGAACGCACGACGCAAACAAGAAAAACTTGGAATGATGAAGAGACGAAGAGAAACGTTTCCTGCCGATAGAACCCAACGGAGCTTGAAAGCATGTGAGGGGCCAACGAAATGATTTTGAGTGTTTTCCGTCGTGGGCCAATCAAAACGTTTGGGCCATGTCAACGCACTATCGCGCATTGCGATTTTCATCTGTCACTTAGTGGATTTGATGCGTGTCATTTTGCTTTCAGGCATGATCAAGACGCCGCAACATTTCGCACTGCAACCCGGGCTGAAAACCCTAGGGCCCATGAGCGTGCGGTGCTGCAACGAAAGGAAACATTTGGTTGGTCGAGTTCTTTGGGTGTGAACATCGCGGGCTGGATTGCATCAACGCAATAGTAATATAATGATACATGTGTATTTTCTCCAGTTGCACCTCGCGTGCTTCCTTGAATGTCTTGAATTCACAGTGACGTTAAGATCGCAGCTGGTCCGATCTCAATTCCTGGAGAATTTGGCTCCACAATGTGTGCTTTTCCAACATGTCCTCAGAAAGCTGCGCCACAACTGTTTGGATGCTTTGAAGTACAAAGAACCATTTGGACAAACCTACTGTACTACTATACAAACAAAACAAACCTCAAACGACTTGCAAACCGGGGCCAACTCTGCGTTGCCAACGATGAAGATGCCATGACGAGCTCGGGTCAGAGCAACATTGATGCGGTTTTCAACCTGAATTATTGAAGCAACAACCGCTCCTCTGTTTTCGTCCAGCTCGATACTGATGCTTTGCAGGTTGCTGCAACAAACAGTGCAAACAAAGCTTCGCGCAGCAAGAAAACCCATTTGTCGAGCCCTGGCGTACGAACAACAAGCTTGTGCAACTTGATACAACCTCCAAACCATTGCTGATGATGGGCTCGTGTATGTGCTTTGTTTGCAACTGCTACATCCATTGCAACCCCTGTAGCTTGCTTCTACATCACAATCTTCACGCTACAAGGGATGTCGACATTCTTGGTCTGAATGAGTGACAGGGATGTTGCATTGATATTGCGCCTCCTTTGGTAGGTCTCGCTGAGGCATGCTTGTGCAAGCAAAGGGCAACCACACAAGTGACTTTCGTGATGCTGATGACTATGATGTAGGTGTGTTGAAGCATCCACATCATCTCTGAACCTTGATTATGATCATAATGATGATTATGATGTGTAGCATGATGTAGCAGCGTTGTAGAAGTTGCATCACCTACATCTCTACACCTTGATGCTGGAGGATCAGGATGAGGATGACGATTGCGATGATGATGTTGATGATGATAGTTGGACAAACACTTGAAGTTGGCAGCCGTTCCTTACACAGAACCCTTCGCAGGCGCTTTTGGGAAAAACAAAAGGCCGGAGCAGTCTACCATAAGGCACCCTTGCACCAAAAACACTACAAAAAGAAACACATCACAATCCGCACAAACACAAATTCCCCCGAATCCCTACGTATTACCACAGCTCGTCATCCCAACCACCACACATTCTTGCATGACAAATCCACCCACACATCAGCCTATCAATGCCTCTAGAGATCCGTGGACACACTTGCAACATTACACTCCGACCAGAACACAGTGCCACACAGTGTGCCGCACAAAGTGCCACACAAGTGCTACACAAATCACCCTTTCACCGCATCATTCAAATCATTCCACAATCTATCCTTCTCGTTTGTTCTCGTTTGCTTTGATCAAAATGGATAGACCGTAGATCCGCCAAACAAAACCGGGACACTTGGAAGAAGCTTTCTTTTTTGCGGTTACTTGGAGCAAGTCATTATTGTTCCGGTATTTTTTCTTTCTTTGTTCTTCAAGTTAGTTGGTTGGTTGGTTGGGTGCTTCAACTTTGGTGGCTGGTTGAGTGCTGTGTTTTCCAGTTTGGTGATTGGGTTGGATGCTGTCTTCTTCAAGTTGGGTGGTTGGTTAGTTGGTTAGGTGCTGTGCTCTTCAAGTTTGGCGGTTAGTTGGGTGGCTGTGTTCTTCAAATCTTCCTTCTTTTATTGTTTCCTTTTTCTTTCTTGCTTCTTTCCTTCCTTCCCTCCCTCCCTCTCCCTCTCCCTGTCTCCCCTTCTCTCTCTCTCTCTCTCTCTCTCTCCCTCTCATTCTTCCTCTCTGTCTGTCTGTCTGTCTTTCTTCCTTTGTTTCTTTTGAGCGACACCGTGCCGAGTAGTGGTGAACGGGCAATAAAGGGAGTCTCATGCTGCAATAGAACAAAACTATGTCAAGCTTCAAACAAACACGTTTGCAAATAAACCGCGCCTGTTGGATCTCACGAGGGATATGACGATGATATCATTTTCTTCACCCTGCAGGGTCCAATTCTGTCTTAAATTTCGAGTTTTAATTCTAATTCTAATTCTTGTTTCTAGCTTATTGTTCCTAGTAAGGCCAGGAGCCCCTAGTAGCGTCCTTGCTCCTAGTAGCGATGCCCTTTGCTCCTAGTAGCTTCTTCATATCCGAACATGTCCTGCCTGGAAGTTGTCCACAGCTGTGACTGCAATCTTTTGAGTTGTTGGGTCCCGCTGGATCTTCTTTTTCAAAAGGCGCACCTCACGAAGGACTTCGACTTCAATCTTAACACATGTCTCAAATGCTTCAGCGCAGTTCCAGAGCAACCAACGTCAATACAGCATCACTCTACCTTTCTTTCTGAGGCTGCCCTGTTTGGAGGGAGATTTTGCAGAATTCTTCATGTTTTATGTAGCTTTTGGAATCATCACACGAGTCACTTGTCCTTCATATTGACTCGTTCGGGGATGCTTGGAAAGAACGTGAAGACAACACAATTTTGTTGGATGCTTTTGGTCTGCCAGGTTTGCTGGGTCAACACTAGGTTATCCATAATAATATGGATTTTCTGATTGTCCATCATAAACACACTTTACTGAATCAAGTGCTGAGGCTTCTTGCCCTCGAATTTATATAGCTCCAAGTTTCAACACAGCCACACTTTGATTTGTCGTGCTCTACCCGGGGAACATGTTTTGTGATATTAAATATAGTGTTTTCGCAATCTCTTTGCTTGGTGACCTGGAAGCTTAGTGCACAAGCTCATGGAAACAGTGCCTTGGCATGCTATCTCACAATAACGACCCTACTAATCTAGCTTTGCTTGACACTTGTGTACTGTAAATACATTGACTCAAGCTTGTATCCAGCGCCTGCCCCAAATACGGCGATAAGACAGTTATCTGCGACTCCTTCCAGCAGCTCCCCACTAAAAAGTTGGACTGCGCTTTTTCCACATATAAGATGCCAGCCTCATAGCCGCAAGAGACCAAGTGAGCGCACAAGGCACTGACAAAGTTTGCCTCTTCAAAAGGGAGCAGTGCGAAGTCATGCTGCTTCTAGAGCCTAGGATATATATATATATAGTGGTTTGCAACAAACCTCTGGTGTTAAAGTGACGTCTCTTGCAAATCTATCATCCGAACGGTGTCAATACATCAAGAAATGCAGAAATACATAAAAAGGAAACATATGGAAACATGATTTGTACAAGGCAAGCCTCAAAGGTGTTCAAGTGGGAATGACTCTCCCCTTCATCATCCTGACATCCAATTGCTGTGCACCAGCCAGCTGCGGAGAAACGTGCACATGATATGACAAGGTGCTTGCTGTCTTAAAACCCAAAGCCTGGCCTCAAAATGACAGTGCGTCATGAAATAGCTTCTCGCGTTGATTCCTCGAATTTCAGGATACCTGACAACAATCATGAGAACCTGACTGAAGAGAATCAAAGCCTAGAGTGGACAATGCCCATCCAGCCGCAATGCAATGCTTGATTCGGCTGGGTGACTACACGCTACACGCAGCTCTAGCGATTCTGTATGTCCTGATAGCTATTCTCTAAGGTCTGCAGGGCTCAAGTCAGCAGGGATTGGTTCAAGCCAATCCCTTTCCATGTTTGAACACCCGGTCCCATATTGCCCACGGCATGCCAACCCCTTTACGCTGCCCCTTTTGTGCACAAGGCAATGTGATAGTAAGGCAACTGGGCACCTCTCTGTGCTGGAATGGTCACGGAGCTGGGGATAGTACCTTGTGGCATTTTTTGATCGTTCAAATAAATGAAATGACATTGACGTGACTGGACTTGGCCGAGACAGCACGGCAAGGAGCGCAAGGCAGAATTCAGCCCGACGCGGCTTGATCAATCTGGAAATCTTTGGATGCATCCGCCTCTGTTGAAGCAACGTGACCTGGCCCGTCGCGCAAACTGGGACAGCCTCTGCCCTTTTGCCTTGTCGCCTTGACAACATGAGCGTCTCTAAGGAGGCGACATGGCTTGCTCCATTGTGGATCAACCTCTCGAAGAGAGAGACATCCAAATGGAACTGCTTTGAGAGACGGTAGACCTGGGCGCAATGGCGAAGTGGTTGTTTCTATTCAAAACTCCGAACCAATGCATTCGAACATTTTGGAACCAAAGTCCAAATCTTAACCTACAAGTACTAGATGGACGAATAGCTTGACAGCTCCGACCTCGATATCATGCAGTAGTAAGACTCCGAAGTCATGTGCCCGATGTTGTTCGAATTGTTCAAGCATGTGCAGCATGTTCAACAAAATTTCCACACAACTCGACCGCTACACCAGAAGTAGCAGTACCAGTATCGCTGCCTAGGAGGTTGACATGTCTTCGACTTAAATATAATCGTTGAACCATCCGGTGCAGCACCTGTCAAACTGAAGAACTAGTAACCAGAACTGTCTCACAGGAGGATCGATCAATTGTCCATGTACGCGCAGCATGTGGTGACACTCTGTGCAAAGATCAACATGGACTATGGACCTACCAATCCAAACTAGGGTTGAATGGAAAAGCACCACAACTGGTATGCTGTCCACAGTGATGAATGTTCAAGGTGAACATATGGGGGTTGTTCAAAAGTCCTTTCATTTTTTCCAGGCCTTTCGCAGGACCTTCGCGAAGCTTTCGCAAGCTTTCGCGCGTGGGGTTTTACCACTGTCGGCGAAAATGGTTTTTCGTTCGGGCTAGAGGCTTTCAAGGATAGTTGCCCTGGCACGTCTTGTGTCCTCTGATCACTGACACATTGATTGCTGAGGAACAGGAAGCCAGCGAACCAAGACATTTTCATGTTGGTGTGTTTTTGGTTGGGCGCAACCCTCCATGAACAAGAGACGGCTCAGTCAGGCCAGTTTGCTCAGACTTCCAATTTGCTTTTTTCCCGGGCCGGGTAAAAGCAAAATGGTTCAGAAGTCGAATTTGCTTTTTCCCGGGCCGGGAAAAAGCAAAATGGTTCAGACTTCCAATTTGCTTTTTCCCCGCCCGGGAAAAAAGCAAAATGGTTCAGACTTCGAATTTGCTTTTCCCAACCCGGGAAAAAGCAAAATGTCAGACTTCGAATTTGCTTTTTCCCAGCCCGGGAAAAAGCAAAGTGGCTCAGACTCAGGAAAAAGCAAAATGGTTCAGACTTCCAATTTGCTTTTTCCCGGCCCGCCACGAAAAAGCAAAATGGTTCAGACTTCCAATTTGCTTTTTCCCGGCCCGCCACGAAAAAGCAAAATGGTTCAGACTTCCAATTTGCTTTTTCCCGGCCCGCCACGAAAAAGAAAAATGAAATTCCTTCCAATTTGGAAAGCAGTCTGTGGGGGCAGATTGCCTTCTCCGGCCTGGAAACAAGCAGCGCCTGTAAGGCTCGAGCCCACGACCTTCTGCTTATGAGCCTAGCGCCTTATCCATTAGGCCACAGCTCTCTGAAAATATTGCTTTTTTCAGGCTGCCCAAAAGCAAACTGGATGCCCCATTTGCTTTTCCGGCACAAACTTCCAATTTGCTTTTTCCCGGGCCTGGAAAAAGCAAAATTGGAAGTCTGAGCCATTCTGCTTTTTCCCAGCCCGGGAAAAAGCAAATTGGAAGTCTGGACCATTTTGCTTTTTGCCGGCCCGGGAAAAAGCAAATTGGATGTCTGAGCCATTTTGCTTTTTCCAGGCCCGGGAAAAAGCAAATTGGATGTCTGAGCCATTTTGCTTTTTCCCGGCCCGGGAAAAAGCAAATTGGAAGTCTGAGTCTGAGCCTTTTGCTTTTTCCAGGCCCGGGAAAAAGCAAATTGGATGTCTGAACCATTTTGCTTTTTCCGGGCCCGGGAAAAAGCAAATTGGAAGCCTGAACCATTTTGCTTTTTCCCGGCCCGGGAAAAAGCAAATTGGAAGATTGGAAGTCTGAGCCTTTTGCTTTTTCCAGGCGCGGGAAAAAGCAAATTGTAAGTCTGAACCATTTTGCTTTTTCCCGGCCCGGGAAAAAGCAAATCGGAAGATTGGAAGTCTGAGCCTTTTGCTTTTTCCAGGCCCGGAAAAAGCAAATTGGGTGTCTGAACCGTTTTTGGAGGTTAGACATAACCGTTACTTTTGTGAAGGTCTTGCACGACCAAGTCCTTTTGGCCCGAAGGTTTCTGAGCCTTTTGGGTCGGCGCAGCCACATGTGGTGGCTCAGGCTGGTGGTCATCTCGACCACAGCCGTTAGCCATGGTTGGTGGGCGGGCCCAGAAGGACCGCTGGATGCGGAGCCGCCGGAAGAGCGGACAGGATGGCGGCAGCACCTGAGGGAATGGCTCCCTGGTGGTGAGCGACAGCTCAATGCCACGGAAGAGTGGTTTCTCGGCCTGGCCAGTTGGGGTCGAGAGCTGGAAGGTGCCTCGACCTGGGGCAGCTGGGATGTGGCGCTGTGGATGATCGTGGACACCCTCTTCGGCATGATCGGGTGGGCGCTCTTCGGCAGTGCTTGGACTAAGGTTCGCACCGGGTGTCGCCGGCTCCTCCAGGTCCTGGTGGTGCTGGGACTTTGCCTGGTCGCTCACTATGTGTGGGCGGTTTGCTACCCCGTCGTGTCGCTCTTGATCCGGGCCTGCATGGCGATGGCATGGCTACTTCGCAAAGTACTACGAGGAGTTGGGGCCTTTGCTTTTTGGTTCCAGCGAGTTACAGGAGGCTCTCCAGAAGCCTCTGAAGCTGAGTTCGTGGGACCTGCCACCGGACGGACACCTGAAACCTCCCAACTCCGAGCTTTCAAGAGGTCTGGTGAGCAGCGCAAGTACATGGTGGTGAAGAGAGGAGAAGATGCAGCTGTCTTCGCCATTGGCACGGACTCCCAGTCCATCAAGACCCACGGCCTCTATGTCCCTGTGGAGTGCAACACGATCCGCGGTTCTCCTGCCTTGGTGAGGCGGCTCCGGGATGTCGAGAAGGTGCACCTATGCCGGAATGAGGCCTGCACAGAAGAAGGCGGAGAACACTTCGCCGTGTACGGGTTAGTTCGGAAGAATGACCCGGAGAGATTCCAGATGGCCCAAGCACGTGAGGGTGCACGCAAGGTGACCCAGGACTTTTGGGCTTGGTTGAAAGGGTCCCCACTGACTGAAGGTACTTCACAGCTGATGCACCGCATTCGGGAGTTGGGTTCAGAATCGGAGCAAGAGGAGGAGCATCTGGTTTGTTGTGGCAGCCTGGTCACATGGCGGGGCCCTGATGGAGTGATGCAGTGTTTGGCCAACCGGCCATGTGGTGCCCGTGCTCAACACTTTGGGCAACTCCTACAGGATGATGTCCCCACTCAGTGTGGCGCAGTTGCATTGTGCGGGGAACATGCCACCCAATACTTGACCCGGCGTTATCCGGACAAGTGCAGCGTGACCTTCTGCAAAAGGTTCGGCAACAAGTTGCAGCATGGGGTGGTTTGGTGCTCGGAACATGAACCTTCGAGCTTGACACCGACGAGACCTTCTTCTACCTCAGCGCGCCGATCCAGGTCGAGGTCACGTACACGAGTGGTTGAGGACGTCGACGAGGAGGAGAATGACGACGAGGAGAACGGGGTCGACAAGGAGGATGCGCAGTGTGAAGAAGATAAGCGTGGTCGTGCGAGAAAGCTGTTGGGACGAGCTCGCGATTGGGAGGAGCCCGAGACCAAAGAGAGAACACCACGTCGGAAAGGAACAACACGGTCCCCAGGACACACCCCGAAAGGATCAAGCATTAGTCGAAACTTGTCCCGCATGGGAATGCTCAGTTCGCCAGGTTCGGAGGGGGCAGGTAGCCTGCTGGAAGAGTTCTTCGAGATCTTCGCGGCAGGGAAAGCTGATGGGCTTCGTGAAGACCAAGCGCGCAAAAGGCTAGGGGCTGACCGTCTACTACCACCAGGTGATCTCCTTAGGCAATTGGTGGGGGAGGCGGAGAACGAGCAGGCGCAAGGGCGACGGGGGCTCTCTCGGTTCTTGACCACCTGGCGGAAGGAGCTGGCAAAGTTGGAAAGACCTCGCGGAGACGGAGAAGGTTGCAGTGATTGGAGTATGGTGGAAGGTGGCAGTCAGACCACGACTCCTGGGGATACTCCTGAGAAGGATGGTGATAGGGCTACATCCTTGCCTTTAGCTTCGTCTTTGCGGGCCTCCGCATCCAGGACAACGCCTACGTTGGAACCAGCACCTCCCCCTGGATTGGCAGAAGGCGGTCAGCAAGTGCCTCAGGTAGAGGAGAAGCGGGGGGATGGACTACGAGTGGCACCTCCCGGGATCTATCGCCCAGACACCAGGGCTGGCGCCAGGACCGATAGTGGAGCCTCCGCAGAACCCGTGGCCCAGATTGCCAAGGCCATCCAACATCAAACCGCAGAACTAGCTTCTTTGGTCCGCCAACAGACGGAAGGAACTGGAGGCCAGCCCCCGGGTACCATCCGAGGGCTCAACAAGCAATCGGAGGAACTGGTGTTCTTGCTTCGAGCTTGTGGCCAGTACCAGGTGCGCGTGGGAGAAGGAGAACATGGACAAGCACTGGCCAATGCTCTGTTGTCTGCGCAAGTGGGGGCATCCACGAAGCTTCGGGCAGCAGGCTTCCGCCAACGGATGTCGACACGGTTGGCTGTGGGGATTGCAGGGCCGTACTGGGGCACTCAGGAGAAGTACGGACTAGGCGCCGCGGACTTCCTCTCCTACACCGATGCCGAGCTCGACCAGTTCGCCTCCGAGGTCAAGGTGATGAAGAACACCGACCAGAGACCTCCACCTCCATCCAGGTTTGATGAATGGACTGCTCGGGTACGACGCCAGACAGATGTGTGGTGCTTGGTGTATGGGGAGGAGTGGAGGGCCGTACGTACTAACGCCCTCAACCTCTTGTCGGAGTGGCACCTGTCTCATCCTCATCGGTGGCCTCTGGCAATTGTCATCGACATCTGGGAGGAAATTCACTGGCGATTTCTGGAGGAGCTCAAAGATGTGCTTCGGAACCTCAAGAAGGAGATTGCAGAGAAACAATCAGCCTCACTGAGCTCAAGTTCCATGCACTACTCCCTGGACCAGACGGACAAGCCTGGTTGGTAATGCCCACAACCTTCGACATC